CCAGACCTTTTTAAATAGCTTAGAAAACAAATAATTTAGTATATCAAAGTGTTTTTGTACGGTTATTGGTAACAGGACAAATTCAAAAATTGTAAATTTAAAATTCCCTTGTTATTCATATAAAGAATATTGTAAAATGTTGTAGTTTGCTTGTTTATGGATATATTTTGATCAAACTTGGCAAATTTATTCAAACAATTACAAAACTATTTGGATCATGAACGGTACTCTAGTTTTCCCAAGGTAGGACACGTGAATTGGAATTTTTGCGTTACAGGCACAATCACAGTAAGAATCAAACAAACGTACAGATATATACACAAGACTCGTTTCGGCTATCTTATTATATACAACGTAGAAATAACCAAACACTTCATGAGTCTACGCAATGTACAGACAAAACAGTAAAGACTTTATAATCTTATAACTAACTATCTGCCCATGCTTCGCAACGGGGTGAGAATCTTTGGGTCTCTAATTCCACCATAAAAAAATAGTATATTTCATACCTAGGGCCTAAAGTGAGGTTTTGCCGACTCGATATCGGGTTTTAAGTTCGGGACGAAGTCGAGAACGTGAAACGATCGAGAGCTGCAAACCCATTTTGGCTCGTGGTACGAGTGGTTTTTTTTACCCAAGTATGTTTTGCAATATAACGTCCCTCTTATTTATGTGAAATATTTTGAGGAATCAGCAAAATCAAAAATAACAATAAATAGTTGTCTAGGCAGCTGTGACAAAAAACAAGTCTATTGCAATGCCATGGATACAGCTTGTGCATTTAATATACATTAATGTTTTAAGTAAATAGGCGAACAAGTGATTTTGCGGCCCTAGGGATGTAAACCCCTGCTTGGTCCCCATATGACGATGACAGCTGGCATGGCCAGCAAAACGTAACTTTCAGCCACCAATATAAACCAGCTAAATGTATGTAAAACAGCTAAAAACATCATAGTGAGGTGAAAAATTCGTTACGCATACTTTTACATTACCATGAATTAACTATATGCATACGGAAAAAACGGAGTCATACTTATTGCGTATTTTAATGTAAACTAGTGGCTTGTAGGGACATAGTCCCTAAAAAGCTACGGAAAAGGAATTATTGTTGGAATATTTAAACAAACTCAGAATCAAATTATCTATATGTCAGGATAGTCCTAGATATCCCACTACAACATATCTTTTGTGCAAAAAAAAACAAAACAGTTTGTTGTTTGTCTTTGTTTGCTTTTGTTGATAACGTTATGTTCAATAAAGAATTTGAATGATTCCTGAGTTTAACTGCTAAAGGCAGCAAACATGTTTATGAATAAATATTGGTTTCTTAAGGTAGCTTTGGTTTTTTGGTTAATGCTGATAACAAGGCTTCCCCGATTGAAATACAGTATTGGAAATTGTCTTCGTCAAATAAGAAAAGGCAAAAAATGGTGTGTTGAGATACCCTACCCAGTTATTATTTTTAAGTCTATGCTCATTTTGTAAAGGTTTAACAAAATTATTCTTAAGTAAAGGCATCCCATTGACAGAACTTGGACCTAAATTTGTTTGTGATCAACATTAAAAAACCACTATTAGCCTAGTGTAAGTATGTGGTGTTAATCCTCCTAAAGGTGCGATTGATTTACATATTCTACCAAAAAAGGGCCTAGTCAACGTCTAATTACCAACTATTTTGCGGCTAGTTAGGGTTCCATTACCCAGTTATCGAAACTAATCACGACATAAATATTTTTGGTTCGTTTAAATACTTGTACGAACCTACTTCATCTCTATTCCCAAATTGTTTTCTAAGAGTAACCTATCCATGTTAATGTAATTAATAATGTTATTTTTGTCTTTCTTATATTATACCTAACCTGTATAGCAATGAAATGCTGATCGGTTAATAAAATCTTAAAAAAAAGAGTAACCGTTGAGGTTATTCCACTTCATACAAAATATTGATTAAACACTACAATAAATCTAAATATATAAAAGGCAAAGCCCTCACTGACACACTCACTCACTCACTCATCACTAATTCTCCCACTTCCCATTTACCTAGGAGGCTGAAATTTGGTACACTGATTCTTTAGGCATTAAATAGGAAAACTAAGCTATTTTTATTCTGATCCGACTCTCGGGCTCCGCCCCAGTGGCTCTGGAGTTTCCCATGTTAACCTTATGAGTACTCATATTTAAATGGAATTAATGAATATTAACAGCTGTTTCAATTAAACAAGTTGGTTCTGTTCTATGATGTGCAATAGCATTTAAGTTACAAGGATTACCAACAGGGTTCAGCACTATTTTATTTTAATTTATGACTACCGTACAGCTAATTTGCAACCAAAAAGGACGTGATTGAGCTATGCGAACGAGCTTACTTATGAAGTAAAACGGGGCAAAGCCCGTGGGTACAGCTAGTCTCAAATATAAATGTTAGTAAATAAAAAAAAATTGGAATAAATCTTTTACATATGTTTTGAAATAAAAACAAAGAAGATCTTCGTTTAATCTTGAATCGTTTCTTAAATCTTGAAAACAATTTATTTCAACTTTGACATAACTAAAAAGTCTTGATTATTAAAGGCAACGTTATCCCTTTATAAAGTTGGTTTTATATAGTATACATTACATTGCAGAATTGACTGGCAAATGAGTAATCCAAATGTAAGCTTACTTGCTAATGATAAAATCACGATCAGCTGGATTGAAGTAAACAAAAATCAGCAGTAAATGCCTTCTAATGCTATTCTTGTGGAGAACATTGTACGTTATATCTAATTTTGTGTTAAGATTTTGGGAATTTCACTATTTTTCCCGCCGTCACGGGATAAAGACCTTTAATTTGAGCCCTCTCACGTCGTTCTACGACTTCCCAGTCGCCCACAATTTTGACGCAAAGAATCGGCTTACGTAATTAATTTATAGATTCCCATGAAACTGATAATTTACCCAGCACATTAAGGCCTTTATTCCAAGTATCTCAGTTCGTAAACCATACATATAATGTGACGATAAAATATCAACAAAATAGCATGTAGTTTTATGTAATCCTCACGACATTTCATTTGGTCCATTGACTTTAAATCCAATAATTGTAAAAATTATTGGAGCTTTGAAAAAAACTTCATATAAAATCCTTACACTAATAAAAGACGACGTCATGAGCGCGGGAAATGCGCTACAGCGGCTAGGGCATAGCCACATGAATACAGAACGGAATGAAGGAACTAGAACGGAGAACTGGCAACAGCGCACGCGAGAAGTAGGGGGGGCGCACACACCGCTCAAGCACTACAACGCATTAGTGGCATCCTGTCCACACACTGTTGATACATACCGATTTGTGGCATGGTGCCACAATCTAAAAACTGGAATGTTAGATGTTAAAATGGAGTGTTCATTAAAAATATCGATGCAGACATGTTTCTACCACCTTCCTTCATCCACTGGTGGCCGCAGGTTGAAAGATGCCACAATTAGGTGTTTGCGAGTATTCGGTAAAACCCCGTATGTGTGTGTGTGTGTGTGTGTGTGTCTGTGTGTCTGGATGTGTACAGAGCTAGAGACTACACCTGTGGTCCGATTTCGATGAAATTTGGTATGTAGGTTCTAATCCATGGTATCTCCAGGCGTTTTTTTCATTTTTTTGAAATTTTGATATTTAATGGGGATTTTCCCATAAAAACCCATAAAAAACCGGAAAAATCGGATTTTCTCAAAAATGGCCCGAACGATTTTGATTAAAATTTAGTATGTTGTAGCCCTTTAAATTCTGAACAAAATGGTGTAAATCCCATTTCTGTAAAAATTACGGTTCAAAAGTTATGGTAAATTATGTTATTTTCCCATAAAAACCACATAAAATAACGAAAAATAGGATTTTAGACAAAAATCCAGTTTTGATTTAACATAGTAGGTTATGGTCCTTACAATTTTGATAGTTTTTTTCATTTTTTAGAAATTTTGATTTTAGATGGAGCTATGTGGGTATGGAGCTTTCCCATAAAACCTCATAAAATAACGGAAAAATAGAATTTTCCCAAAAATGGCCCGAACGATTTTGATAAAAATTTAGTATGTTATAGTCCTTTATATTCTAAACAAAATGGTACAAATCCCTTTTCTGTAAAAATTACGGTTCAAAGGTTATTGTAAATTATGTTATTTCCCCATAAAAACCCCATAAAAAACGGAAAAATTGGATTTCCCAAAATTGGCTCGAACAATTTTGATAAAAATTTAGTATGTTATAGTCCTTTAAATTCTGAACAAAATTGTACAAATCCCATTTCCGTATATTTACTCTCACCATTTACACATGATAAAGGTTGTTGACAAACTTATGGGAGAAAGTATGTGTCAGAATGCTGATACCGTTTATTTAGGTTTATAAATGGATTCAATCTGAAATTATTGATTATGAAGTACAATTTATGGTATAATTATGCCATCTCCGATGGTTTAGAGAGTAAAAATTCCACATAATCAAATGATACTGAACAAAGATAGTTTTACTGAAAAATATAACATGTTTTATTAATGATTGTGTCCAACATCTTACGCATTAGGAATAGAAGGGTATGAATTTCCCTAAGAACTAAAAGTTAAAAACGTACCTTATTTATTTGTTAAGTGCTGTACAATTATTTCTTCTTAATGGTGCAAAAATTATTTATCATATTTACTCTATAGCTTTACTAACAAAGATATTGTTGAAGATAAATAGAAAATTAGTTAAAAATCTAAGATTGACTATATACTCAAAACTGATTTAAACATGAAAGGCTGTGAATAACTATTTTGAACACGTTAATTATACTAAACGCCTATTACCAACAAAACAAAACAAAAATCACCGCCGACCCACTTTGTAACAAAACATTCAACACCAATTAAAACAATCAATATCCAGTTACATCATTCCAATTAAACAGTTTTACACAATTCGGGTTAAAAACATAGAGTAGGAAATGAGGTTTGTTTATTTACAAAATTATATAGTGGAACATGACAGTTTTATCTAACAAATTGCTGAGTATCGTCAAATATACAACATTCAGGATTGTAGCTGTTTCATCGTCATCTCGTGTAAGTCAGCAGCAGCATTGCTGATATCAGCTGAGCTGTAACGTCACTTACGCTGCTAGCAGCGCCATGCTGCATGGCGGCCGGTGTCTCCCCTAGAAAAAAGTTGTTGGTTAATTTTTTATTTAAAATATACATTGTTTTACACAATACTCATCACTCATCACTAGTGTAATATACCTTTAGGTATTTATTTGTAAGTTATTAGCTATAAATGTTTGTGAATGCATAAGTTATAGTTTGTATCAAAAGCATATTCAATAAGCCCATACTACCCAAAAAAAGGAAAACACTAAATCAATGTCAGTATACTCAAGGATAACTTGACTTACAAAAAGTAAATCATACGATTATAATTTTGTTAAAATTCGATCGTTTATTTAGTTACATTACATAATTGAGACATTTGTGTTCTTACTGGTTGAATAATACCATTAATACTGACTATTATTTTTTCACTTCACAAAAAAACTAAAAAAATGAATCCGTTCATTAACAATAATATAAATACATACAATAAAATTTATTAAAAAATATTAACTAAAAGCTACTAGAATAAACATTAACAAAACCATCAGAACAAACGGGCTACATGGAATACACAAAGCCTACCTTTGATGACGTGTACAAATACCGTGGTAGCACCGACTCCCGCCAAAGCACAAGTATAGTTCCCTGAGTCCTCAACTTTGGCGTTCGCTACGAACAAACTGCTTTTCACTCCATCAGCTAACACTTCCGACTTGACACTGCAAATTAACAAAACTGTCAAAAATATGGTTCAAATGCCAATATAGAGAATACAAATTCATATAAGGATGTTGTTGTATCTGTATTCTTTAAGTTTATTCTGATAGCCCTTTTGAAATTTTACATTCGTCTTCGAGCAACCACTGTCTGAATATTGCAGTTTACAGGCTAAGGCTACTTCAAATAAACTGCACGGTTTCACAAAAAAGGAGAGATTATAGGAGGGGTCAGATGTTTCTAAAACAATAAAATTGTTTAAGTTTTAGTGAAATGGAGAGGCATCTATTATTAAAACTTAAAATTTAAAGTTAAAACTTAAAGCTTACTCAAAATAAAATTTAAAACTTAAAACTTACGCAAAACACAAAACTCAGAGCTTAAAACTGTAACATAAAACTTAAAATTACTAACTAAAAACTAAAAAAATTTAACTTAAAAAATTAAGATTTAAACTTAAAACATAATGATCAAAATTTAAAACAATTTGAACAATGAACAATGAACAATGAACAATGAACATCAATTTTATAAAGCATTAATATTATTGGTAAAAGTACATACTATACTATTTTTTTATTCCATATGAAATCTTTTAAAATTTAATGTCGTGCTATTAACCTAAACAGCAGAAACATTGGTTGGTGCATGACCCATCGTCTAGGGAACCCAGGTACTAATCCCACAGATTACAACAGTTTTTTTTTAGCTATTGACGATTCCTTGATCCAGTGCTAAGAGTGCATTTTAAGTTTTAAAAAACTTTATCGAAATGAAATTTCAGGGAAACACATTTTGCATTAGAAAATTGTCCTCATTAAAAACATAGGATAGTTATAAACTTCAACAGAAATTTTATCATTAAAAAAATCACTAACACAAATTTAAAGCTTTAAAGGAATAATGGCTTATCAGTTTATCAAAATCAAACTACAAGATACATTATTATTTAAAATGTTTCACATTTAAAAACGAGAATTCAAAAGGTTCACACAAATTAAAGAGCAAGGCGACAAACTAATTAATTTAAAAGCCGAACTCGTTCAGTAGTTTTCCTAATTACTTAAACAAAAGACAGAACAACTAAATACTCGGTTCATTCTCAACACAAACAATGGACGTGTGGAAGATCTTGATATTGTTGCCTTGGCAACCATTGTTCATTGTTGTCTGCCTTTTGTAGTTGATTATTCTCTGTTGTCTGAGTCTCTGTGCGATTCAGAGTCTTTGTAGCGTGAACGAGTTGGAATGAAAGGCGGGCCTGTTGTTGATAGATAGTTTAGTGGTCTTTGACATAGATGTATCTTGGATGTGTATGGTTTGATTGTCTGTATGTGCGTTTGTATGTGCCATCAATTGGTGGAATTATTTCCTGAATGTATGAGGCGAGAAAGTGGTGTGACGTTTGTGAACTTTGGGTTCGCAAAAGAAATAATGTTTATTAATTTATGTTACTGGTGTACCTGTTGCTTGAATTCAAGCAATTTCTAAGTATTACAGGCGTTATTTTAAAACTAATAAGTCATAATTTCTGATGAGTTTAAAAGAGTCGACTCAAAGATTATGGAAATACTCACGATGTACATAACAGTTCGATATAATCAACATTTCTTGTAAATATCTTATTATTTTTCAAAAGCTTATCTTGTTTTTTAGAGTTTTCTACAACTGTTTCCCACTCATAGAGGCATAAAAAAAATTAAAAACACATGATTTCTAATTCTTCTACTTGGTGTTTTATGACTTTCCTATGTTTCCATAGTTTGCAAATTGGCTCTTTCAATAATTGCTAAAGAAATATAGCACAGTTTTTAAATCAGTTTTCTTTTTACTACAGTATATCAAATGGCCCAGGCTTGCTCGCTTTTTTCCATTGTAATATTTACGCCAACCCAAATTCAAATAGTACGTAATATTTCATTTCAACCAGGTCAGTAAATGTTTGTAGCACACGTTTCCTTAAATTCCAACTAAAATATTAACAGCAATTAAATTATCCAGCTGATCACAATATAAACAAATGTGTTCTTCTTCCTTAAGAAGAAGTTATCCTTATAACATGTTATCATGTTATCCTTATAACATGAGAACTTTAAAAGACACTGGGACAGAGCCCAAGGGATCTTTTTCCAAAATGTAAGGTCAGTTTGAAAATCTACGCACCTAGATGAACATTTTGGTATATAATATGTTGGATTAAATCTTAAAACAAAAAAGCCTTATTCACAAAGTATGTATATGATCAAACATTTGTTTACTAAAATGAAAACATTTACGAAATTGGTACATTTAGTATAAAAGGAAAAGATGAAGTTATATAAAAGTCTATATAAGTCTAGTTTATATAAAGTCTATATAAAAAAACCAAGCACAATGTTTGTTCGAATTATAATCTCTTTGTAAACAGATTTTAGGATTCAAAAAGTAAACTTTTTGAACTTTTTGAGGAAACCCAAATAAAATTAAAATTATTGGAAACGTAAAGATTTAAGAACTGTTTAACGAAATAGTTTTAGAACATTCGCCAAATAATGTTTCAATAAATATCGAAACCAGTTTAACAAGTATGCTCAGTGCTAAGCAATTTAGATAATTAGTTTTAGTTGGTATTTTGAATGGATTAGGTGTAATATGAAATTATAATAACCGTTATAAGATTATAGAACAACATTCTAGAATACTCTGTAATGAATCAACTAGGCTACTTGATATTTTGATGCTGGAATGGTGGTTATCAAAATTATCAAAACCCAGTGTCAAATTTAATAACTTGCATGTTTAATATACAATTGCTTTTGAACAACTTGAATGCAATTTAAGCCTTTTAGTTACACAGTAAGCTTAGCTTAGCATCTAAAATGTCACGGATTAATTTAAAACGACAATATCACGTTCTTTTGATATCAAACGCTTTGTCTTATAGCATTTCGGTCTCTTGCTAGGATATTACATTTAGTACTTATATGTGTATTGCACCATACTGTCTTAATGTTAAACCAGTGTTATTATTTTCACTGTTATAGACGACCATAAGACGTTAGCATTTTAGGTGAACGATTATTTCTGTTCTCTATTTTTATGTCATGCCTATTATTATGGCACAAGTGATTGTTTTTAATGTGAAAAGCATAATTTTTTTGTACTATTCTTGCCAATAGAGAAACAACACAGCTGGGTGTATTTGAACCCAAATAAGCTAAACAATGATTGTTGAATCGACTGAGATGTCTTGTGTAGATATGTCACTTACAAGACAAGCGGTTTCCTCAGTTGAATTGATAAACATAACAAATATTATTGTTTTCTATTGAGTCATAGTTCATAGAATATCAAATTTCCTTCATTAGAACAAGTTTTTTTATATACAACAATATTTTAGCTCACTACTTTGCTATATTATTAATGGACAGCTTTTAATTTGATTTGTACTGTTATTTCATTAATTCTGTAGAATTGCTTAAATTAATTAGCTATAGTTTATCTCGTGCTATAACAGTAACTGTGGTAATGTTAACTGACATGAGAATTTTTTTTTCCTACAGTCACCCGACAAAGTTGGCTTCCTTGTACTGTTTATAGTACAGAAAGCTTCTAATTGCTGCATATTTATACTTTGCCGTACGGTTTATACTTTGCCGTACGGTTTATACTTTGCCGTACGGTTTATACTTTGCCGTACGGTTTATACTTTGCCGTACGGTTTATACTTTGCCGTACGGTTTATACTTTGCCGCACATCAGGATTCCAACGAAACAACACAAAACAGCGTGGTTCTATTATACACGTAATCCGTGTACGCTTGGAAATAGGTTGGCAACACTTTAAGATAAAAATACTATGAGCAGCTGATTGACTATTATAACTACGATTTAACTGTCATTTCGTGTTTATAGTTTCGGTATTTCTGAACTTTCTGGACTTTTCTTTTAAACGTTTTTAAAACATTCCTACTATCTTAATAAACAAGAAAATACCTTTAAAGCATTTTTTTAGGCACGGAAACCACTTCAAATTACAAAATCATACGGAACTATATTCTCAAAACGCGGAGCACAATTCTTGCCGAGGAAAAATAGCGGAGTGATACGGACCGTGGGTACTACTTTCTCTAGGGCACCATTTGTTTTGCCAGCTGAACCTCAAAACGTGTTGTATAGTGTTTGAAAGACTAATTAACTAATTATTTATATGCTTTATAGGGACTGTAGGAAAAATATAATGTGTAACACGAGTGAAAAAGGCCTTTGCTGCACTCGAGATCATTCCACACTCGCCTGCGGCTCGTGCGTAAACATTGCTCTCGTGTGCAGCAAAGTGCCACTTTCACCACTAGTTACACAAATAACTATTTCTATAAACTAATTTTCTGCAACTAACCAAGTTTACTATTTGTATCAAAAACCCTTATTCAAACTGTTGAACAGTCTTTTTATAACCCTGTAAGGATAAAATCGTGATTGCATTAACACTTCAAATTAAAAGTTGGCTGGCATTCTAGTAGAGCGCAGTCTAATCACCAATGACATTTAGCTATACTATAGATAAGTCTGCACTCTCTTTTCCTAGGTTAAACAATTTGCTAAATAGAAAAGTTACAGAATAGAAACTACCACGTAAGGCAAGACATGAAAATACTAAATCTCCATAATCAATTCAAAAACCTCAGTTAAAATACCCGCCAGTTCGTCTGTTCCCTCCAAATACACCGTCTCACCTGATGCCGCCTCGGACGATGTCAAAGTTGAGCACGTGGTCTCCGTGCACCCAGGACACAAAGTGCTGAGGCCGAGGTACCCTAGTGATACGGCACTTAAGTTCCAAAGTGCTACCGGCGTCGTAGAACTTGCTGAGGATACGCAAGCCTCGCTCATCCAGAATCTCGAGGTTCGGTACTAGCCAGAGAGAAAGAAATCAGTGTGCTGTTGGATAGTAAATTCATACATAATTTAATACTGCAATGCATTATTCATGTACTACGACTCTATAAATTTCACGTCAATTCTACTAAACAATTTTGAGCTAATCAAGAACACAGTTTTAAGTAAAAAAAATGTACTAGACACAAAGGTTTGAACTACACAAAACCAGTGAGGTTTTTTTCTTGAGGGTGTAGCAAGGATATGGTCATTCTAAACTTGGGCCCAAGAACCCTGTCATAACATCGTCAACCCAATATGGGAGAGATCATCTCCACACTGCTACTTTACCTCTGCTATTCCTATTGTATGTTTTCACCTTAAATTTGTGTAGTTGCCCAAATCATCGTTCAATGTATTTTATACTACTAATAAATGTACTGAGACCAAACAAAATGTTCAAGAAATGAGAAATTCAGAACGTCTACACCATCTCGCTGCGTCTTTACCCAGGGTTTATCTTAAAAGGAGAATTTGAGAACAGCAGTCATCGGCTAAGCCAGGTGGAGAAGACGGGGGTTTAAACATGTTAGCATTCAATGATATCAAAACGATATACGGTTAGTAAGCAAATACGATACATACAATATATATCAAGTTATTTTTGATCTTCTGGACTCTTACCTGTGACCTGTAGATATCTGTAGTACGTCACCGGAGGATGTGAAGTGACTTGACACTCGTAAAGACCTCGGTCGTCTTCCACCACTCCAGCGATGGTCAACTGCCACTCGTTGTTTTCTGATCTACACGAACAAGTAGAGCAAACAGTGATTAACTTTGTGTCTTAAAGTTGTAGTTTAGATTCGGCCCTATTTCAAATTTACTTGTAAATAGATAAATATATATAGATAATAAGTTCAATAAACAAAGATAACTGTAAACTTTTAGGGAGCCCTGTTGGTTGAACTTAGAGGTGATCCAAACATACAGTCTCACTTCTATGATTATTTGATCTGATGATGATTTCTATGATGAACTGATGATTTGATCATTCGTTTCAATTCACCTCAAGTCATTTCTAACAGTTTTAATTCACATAAGTCCCTAAATGCTCCTAATAGTTTGATCACTTGTATGTTTAATGCATACACATACACAGTTTTAATTCAGTCGGTTCCCAGTAAATTAATACATTCAAGTCAGTGAAGGTTCCTGACAGTGATTTTCAATTACTAAATTCCTTTTAATACTAATTATTTTTCTCTTTCATTTAGTCTTATGTTTAAAATCTATTGATAAAGTACTATTTCCATAGACCACCAAAGATCTATCCAATTCACCTTAAAGGCCAATGGCAGAATTCAAGCTCACTACTTAAATGTTTATTCCTCTTCATGATGAATCTATCTTGGATAGAATTTCAATCAGAACATAATGTATACAATAATGCTATTAAGTATGTGTACAACCAAAAATATGACTCAAAACGTATTGCGTACGTTATTAAATTGACATTGTAGACGAAACATGCTTACCTCTGAAACGTATATCTGGGATCTCTTGAGTATATCTCCAGCCCGACAGACAACAACCGCAGCTGACCGTCATGACGTCTCAGCCAGGAAACCTGAACAAGATTGCCATTGTTTATCAATTAAAACCAATCAAAAAGCAATATCTTACTATGATAAAACATACTCATCCATGCAGACTCATCATATAAATAGATCAAACAAATTTTAATGTTACCTAGAGGAAGTTTTGTTGTTAAATTAAATTGGACGCTATTCTTACGAAATATTAATATAAATTATGTTTTTATTAATTGCATTAATTTACCCCTAATGTCTACTAGTGTGACTCTCGGTGTTGGGGGTGAGGAGAGGGGGGGAGGGTATTCCTCAAAATTCCAACCCACGATACTAATTGCCACTACTGACCGTGTTCCTCTCAGTAAGATCGTCGAAGGCGCACTGGAGGATGGCGGTCGCTCCCGCCTGGACCGTCAGGTTCAAGAATGGGGCGGAGTCCTTGGTCGGAGGATCCTCTCCCAGACTGAGGTCCTCGTCGTCCCAGAGCGGGTAGAGAGAGTCATTGTCACTCAGGTCTGGAAAATATATTAGTGGTTGGAATAACAAAATTGAACTTTTACAAAAGTTAATTCTTTAGAGGTTATGAGGTTTATTGTATTGTTTAAATGTTTTAAGTTCTCCACTAAGCAGATAAATAGACATGCATTATCGATTCAAATTCATCGTGAATCACTTGTGTATATGGTGTGAATGTTTTCAGTTGGTTAATTTATGTTTAAATGGGTTTTATCAATGATTAATTATTAACAATCAGTTAATGAGATGGGACGACGCCACCTAGTTGACTTCATCATAAATGTACGCATTCAGTATTTATTTATCGTTTTTCATGTAATGCGTATACAGGGTTAGTAAAAAGTGTGGGGACCCCCTGTTATTTTTTTAACGGCCCATACTAGAAAAACTAAACTCAGCACACCATTATGGCATGTTATGAAGTACTTTTTGGGCATAACCGCCACTTGGCGTTCATCCCCAAAATGGAGGATTTTGGGGGAAACTCAAAAATTTCAAACACAAAGACCCATCGAGTGACCCCTCATTTTGAAGGTCCCGTTAAAAGAAAACCAACAACGCAAACTAGAGGTCTCTATCTCAGTTCAGTAAAAAATGGCAGCCAATTGAAATTCTCATAAGTTCTCAAACCCAAAATGGGGGATTTGGGGGGAAACTCAAAAATTTTAAATGATAAGCCCCATCGAGTGACCCCTCATTTTGAAGGTCATAATAAAAGAAAAGTAACAATGCAAACTATAGGTATTTATTTTAACACAGTAAAATATGGCAGCTAATTGAATATAAAATTGCAAGTTATTTCCGATTTCTAAAGATTTCAATCAGCTTCCATTTTTTACTGGATTGAGGTAGAAACCTCTAGTTTGCGTTGTTAGTTTTCGTTTACCAGGACCTTCAAAATGAGGGGTCACTCGATGGGGCTTATCGTTTAAAACTTTGAGTTTCTCCCAAAATCCCCATTTTGGGTTTGGTAAGCAAGTGGCTATTACCTAGGCTTAAAAAGTACTTCATAACATGCCAAAAAGGTGTGTAGAGTTTAGTTTTCCTAGTGTAAGCCGCTACAAAATTTACAACAGGTCTCCAGACTTGGAAAGCTGTAAGTTAATTGGAACTTCTGAGAATTTCAATTGGCTGCCATTTTTTACTGGATTGAGATAAATACCTCTAGTTTGCGTTGTTGGCTTTCTTTTACCAGGACCTTCAAAATGAGGGGTCACTCAATGGGTGTTTGAAATTTTTGAGTTTCACCCAAAATCCCCCATTTTGGGGATGTACACCAAGTGACAAAGGTTTGCCGAGTTTAATAACCACACTTTTTACTAACCCTGTATATAAACACACCATTAAGGCAGTGTGAATTCAAGCTGTTTATACTCCAGTTTAGTTAGGCTAGGGTGGATGGGTTTTAAGTAGGAGTACTATATTTTAATTATGTTAACGACAAATATTATTTGTTTAGGTTGACCAAATCCAGATGGTAGAAAATATAAGCAGTCAAAACAGTGTTTTTTCTCCATCCAAAGGTAGCTTAGTATTCCTCCATTATACTTAGTGCTGAATTTAAAATACATTACTTTTACTGTTAAATTTCGTGGTTTTATTCCTTATTGCTCCACCATCCAAACTCGATTGCTGCATAACCCATAAAATATTTGTTTGAATATCAACATTTATACGATATTCAATTATCGATACAAGAAAGAAAAATCAATGGTTATCAAGACAATTCACTATTTTTTTTATGAATATCTCATGATTGGGAAATTGTTTGGGTCTATTGGAAATTAATTTCAATGGTTCATAGATAAATCTACAGTTATGTATGAATTTATGAACTAACTAATTATGAAAAAGTAGTCCATAGTTTGCAATGAGAGGACAGCTGCTCTATTGCAGCTGTTTTACCCTTTAATGCACTCAACACTGACCTTTGCTAGGATTAAACAACTGGTGTAATTTATCACCTGCATGGAAATACTGCATTTGTACTTTTGTAGAAAAGTAACAAAAATAGAAAAAGTCAAACACTATTTTGCTACTTATAACATGACATATTGGTGGGAAATACTTAAAAATGGTGTACTTTCACAGTCATTTCCATGCTAGAGTGTTCTGATAATTTTCCCTTTGATAATCCAATAAATATTTCAGCAAAGTGTTCCTGTCTTGTCGGATTATTTATTTATTCAAGTATTTTCCATCAGCACCTCTCTAGCACTGCCAGTCCATCCAGGTGTGAATTACAGTATTTGGATTTAAAGAATGAGAATTAATTCTGTGCAAACAATAAATTTAAAGCTGCAACTGCGATATCAATCATTATATAAGAAAGTAAATTTTACATAAATTTAAAAAGTATAAAACTAGTGTAATATTTTTTTTAAGCTATAGTTGAATGACAACTAAACTATTAGTGTTACTACACTTATTTTAAATAATTATTTGAATTATTCTGCTATCCATAATTTTCCTATTAAATACAGATAAAAAAGGGAAAACTTTGAAAATAAGATTTGATCCCATTAGGATTCAGAGGATAATTGGCTTAATAACTGGCTGGGTAGCTGAGTGGCTATAGTGCTCGCCTAGTAATCAAAAGGTCGCCGGTTTGATCCTGAGAAAAGTCAGTAGCTTTTTGATGGTTCGAAACTGGACCCAGCTGTTCCTGATCATTGGGCTTTAAATACATGATCCTGACTAATGAAACCGCTGATCTTAGTCAGTAACAAAGCTACACAGATCATCACACACCATTCTACACTCATCCTTCACTCATATTTGGGTTAAAATTCACACCTAGATGGCGTCCCCATCTCAATGATTGATTATTGATAATTGATAATAATTGAAAATGCTAAATGAGAGCATAAATCAAAATACAGGGTTAGTAAAAAGTGTGGAGACCCCCTGTTATTTTTTTAACGGCCAATATTAGAAAAGCTAAACTCGGCACACCATTATGGCATGTTATGAAGTACTTTTTGGGCATATCGGCCACTTGGTGTTCATCCCCAAAATGGGGGATTTTGGGGGAAACTAAAAAATTTCAAATACAAAGACCCATCGAGTGACCCCTCATTTTGAAGGTCCTGGTAAAAGAAAACCAACAACGCAAACTAGAGGTCTCTATCTCAGTTCAGTACAAAATGGCAGCCAATTGAAATTCTCATAAGTCCCCAAACCCAAAATGGGGGATTTTGGGGGAAACTCAAAGATTTTGAATGATAAGCCCCATCAAGTGACCCCTCATTTTGAAGGTAATAATAAAAGAAAACTAACAACGCAAACTATAGGTCTCTATCTTAACACAGTAAAATATGGCAGCCAATTGAATATAAAATTGCAAGTTATTTCCGATTTCTAAAGATTTCAATCAGCTTCCATTTTTTACTGGATAGAGATAGAAACCTCTAGTTTGCGTTGTTAGTTTTGTTTTACCAGGACCTTCAAAATGAGGGGTCACTTTATGGGGCTTATCGTTTAAAACTTTTGAGTTTCCCCCAAAATCCCCCATTTTGGGTTTGGTAAGCAAGTGGCTATTAGGCTTAAAAAGTACTTCCTAACATGCCGAAAAGGTGTGTAGAGTTTAGTTTTCCTAGTGTGAGCCGCTACAAAATTTACAGGGGGTCTCCAGACTTGGAAAGCTGCAAGTTAAATTCAACTTCTGAGAATTTCAATTGGCTGCCATTTCTTACTGGATTGAGATAAATACCTCTAGTTTGCGTTTTTTGTTTTCTTTTACCAGGACCTTCAAAATGATGGGTCACTCGATAGGTCTTTGTATTTGAAATATTTTAGTTCCCCCCAAAATCCCCCATTTTGGGGATGTACACCAAGTGACGATTATGCCCAAAAAGTACTTCATAACATGTCATAAAGGTGTGCCGAGTTTAGTTTTTCTAGTATGGGCCGTTAAAAAAATAACAGGGGGTCTCCACACTTTTTACTAACCCTGTATATTCATTCATAAAGGTTTGCCGAGCTGATGAGATCTGTTACACAACTGCACTGAAATAAATTGGTCCAGTATAAAATGTTTTACATCCTAAGGTTATTGAGAAAGACTAAAATATCTAATACAAATTGACATCGATCAATAGTGTAATCTAGATCATCGTTTAGGTTTACTTTTCTTTTGATCAAATAGTTTGACAGTGTTAATGCATACACATAATAACTCACACGAACAAAACGTGTAGGCTAAGTACTTAAAGATTAGTTAGTCATTTTTAGATTTAAATAACAAATCTTACCGTTTTGAGCTGAAGGACAGTGGATCCACAAACTGATTAAAACAAGCTCCAAGATCATCTTGAGATCATCTCATAATGGATTCTGAAACAATTATAAAATCCTAGATCAGAAGATGTTTGGCCATAACGTCACAAAACATTTAACGATTTTCATCAACCGTTTAGAACAAAATAACATTCTGACTTCTAATTTTGATTTCTTAGGATAAAATTTTTGTTTACAAGCAAATATGTCAGTACTTCGATTACCTAATCAAGAACTGACTTGCGGTCAACATATTATGATATGTAACTCCATTATGATCCATGATTTAATAGACATAAACAGCAATAATACTATCCTAATAATAAAGGAAGTATAAAATACAGATTCATATTTACTTGCAAACCAAAATTTGATCCAAAGAAAAATCAAAATATGAAATCAAGTATTTTGAAAATAGTTAAATGAATCTACATAATTAATCTAAAGTGGTATTGCATGTTTAAAAATATAACGTATAAAAAAATATAACATATAATGATGAAAAATTTAACTATTGTAATTAACCGTTATGTTTAAACAATTTTATAGTAAAAGGTAAAAAGGGGGTTCGCAGATATTCAAAAAGGGTGTTGCGTATGAAATTTCAGCACTTACTTCAAGTTGGTGAAACAAATAACCGTTGCCTTCCTCTAACATTATAAAGGACATACTAGTATTCAACCTCACTGTGGTGCTTGGGCACATGGGGTGGCAAATCACAATATCAATACAACACGCTTATATGCTATGACACCATGCAACTCTAAAGGGGAATGTGGAGATCAACCCATTATAATCTCACCACACTTAACCGACGTGATCCTGAACCTCTCAAGAGAGTATTAGTCGGGTTATATTGGGTTTGTGTGGATTAGTAATCGAACAGCTGATATCATCCCATCTATATAGATCAGCTGTCGCAAATCTTTTACTAAAAAAGAATGTAGTGTGAGCCAGTCACAGATTGTGCTAGTGTCTAAAACTCTATTTTGTACCTTATTTTTCGTTCTTGACATAGTTGCTGGGTCACAACATTTGCTATAGCTCATAATAAGTCATTCTATCAGTTTAACTTGGTAAAAACCATCATGTAATCGGCAGAAATCAGTAATTTAGATCAGCGCAATCTGTAGGTGGCTCACATCAACTAAGACAAATTGTATTAAAAACACCTTAGGTGTCAAGGTAAGACATAAAACAGGACAGATTTCTTTTCGTTTTGTACACTTTATTTCCTTACCCGTATCAGCAAACCTAGGTACTCACCTAGTGTTCTTTCAAAGAGAAATACATCTTCTAGGAATTTTTTTGTGAAAATCCAATCGAGCAAAGTCTGCAGGTTTGATGCTATGTGGGAGATTTAATATTGACAACGTTTAGGGACGTATTTTCCATTAATAAACTTCGTATTTTAGGGTGAAACAGGTTTTCATTGAGCAAAATGTTGCTAATAATGCTAAAATGTTGTTAAAATAAACTTTTTTTTTAAATGTGGATACAACATTTTTTTCGTACACATGAGTCAATATCACACAATAAGTTGGAACTTTTCAAGTTGTGAAGTTCTCCAACAGAGATTAAGTTCTCCTCACATTTGAGACCCTTGGTTTTTGTCTTTCTACAATAGAAATATCGACCCACAGTTTAAAGTAACCTTTGGACAAACAGGTAATGACAAAACGACATGGCTTGGTAATGGTGACTAGGAATTTGATCCTAGGTTTCCTAAACAGAAGGCGTGCGTTCTAGCTTTGACTACAATAGTCAATGGTTCTAGCCTGGACAACTACCAAGAAAATTTCGCATGAAACATAAAAGGTTTACAACACTGATTTGTTTTTAACGTAAGGTAAAAATGGTATAAATCTGCTGTTCTTTAGGTTTTTTAGTGAAGCTTCTTGTTAGAGTAAAATACAAAACCGTTTTGCACAACGTCACCAGGACATCAATAAATCAGCAACCCATAACGCCATTTCAATCCAAGTTTACTTGTGGATATTGAAAAACATTCCACGGTCAATTATCTCCTTAAAATGTTTCTGTTCTTCTTGTAAAATAATTTTAGATCTTTTGCAGACCACTTATTGAAAAAGGTATTTTCGATCAACTTTCTGTATCCAATAAGTGTATTATATTGCAAATATAAAGCTGTAATTTATAGACACAAATTAGACACTTAAATAGATTTGGCTGTTAAACTGCATTTAAATTGGTCATTTGTTTGTTTACGATAATTATTGAGTACACAAGTTAGTAGTTGTTAATGTTCATTGAACTAATAAAACATAGGAAATTCAGTCAACTTACATTTTTACAATTCAGTAGGAGATTTTATTTCCAGACCATTTTTTACTAAGTTGCCAAAACACAATGATTTCTAAATTAAAGTGAATATGATTGAAAAGGAATGTATACTTCATGAATTAAATAAATAAATTCGTTTTGTCGACTATTGTCTGTGAAAAGAAATGCTGTGTCAGCTATTTGTCTGTGTGTTGTTTGTTGTGTATACTTATAAGCAACGATTATTTCTAAGGGTCTAAGTGGTTAACTATTATTTTGTTTTTGTTGGACCTTCAAAAAAAATGTTTACATATTATTTTTAATCTTGACTTTAGAAATGGTCGTTTGATGCTGTTTCAATTACAACTAACCATCATGGTTTGTTTGTTTCGATAAAAAAACAGCATCACCTCAACAATTTCGTAATTAAAATTAATTTTCATTGTTTACAAGACAGTGATAACTTACAACGTCTGAATAAACAATTCTGGGCGAGGTTTAGAAAAAGATAAGTCAAAGCACGTTCCAAGTAAATTATTACTGCTGGTGAACCCGAGACATAGAGCTTTCCTCTTATAGGGACAGTTTTTTGGTGGTATATTTTAGGCTACTCTAAAAAAATTGTTAATTCAAGTTATTAGATAGCGTATTTTAATATTCGATAAACTAAACAATACATATTCGGGCTCGTTTTTTAGAATAGTCTGTATTAAAAAAATAAATTGACTTGCCTTAAGAAATATCCACGCAAAAGTTATAATGAATATGTAACATTACAACGTTCGTCTATATTTTTAATATGGCTATACAATTTACGAAATAAAACTATATACAAAAACAATCCTTACCTTTGACTGTCCCAACATTGCGTTATTTGAAATAATTAACATAGATTTCAAATAATTTATAGACGAAATTATTTAACAAAACTATTGCTACTACACTTATTCGTCTACAGTTATTGTATTATTCTACTAATACATTATTCGTATACAATTATTAGTAGGCGAAACAATTCTAATGTTTAAGATGTTTATTTGACTATTTAAATCAAATTTACTTGTGTGTAGTTTCGATATGGATACAGATAAAGGTTAGATTGTCAAACTAGTATGTCATTGAAATATGTAATATCTCGACAATTTTAAATATTCTCAATCATAGACTTCCAAAATGTGACGATCACGAAATCGACACAGATGTTTTACAATTCAAGACTACTTATCTTATAAATTCCTAATCGTTTTTGATTGTATATATATATATATATATAGTAGGAAATGTAGTTTTAAAGATTGACTATACTCATTCAAAATAATACAGCAAATATATAAATTTAAAATATGAGTTTACTTGGTTTACATATCTCAAAAATAAACACTAATATGTCCATCTGATGTAGGGTTAAATAATAACAGAAACTAAGATAAAATCGGATTTTTAGTGTCGAAATACTTGCAAAATTGCAATAATTATCTTTGGAATTCCTGTTATTGTACATCCTTACATATAAATACGTGAAGGCGATTTCTACGAAACACTACTCCTCCGTTAATAATGGACGAATTTTTACAAACGATGTGTCAAAATTAATTATTTTTTGTGTAGACACCCCTTTCACCAATTCCTGTAATAAAAGTTCTCGGGATTTGCCCCACAGGCCATACAAATCCCAATGTATTTCGTACGAAGAAAATATTTTGTCTTTTTAACAGAGGAATTATTTGTATTAATTACAGCTGTTCATAGTAAACACATGTGATACACACAAAAGCGTTCGTTTTCAGAGTAAGTTCGTTTTCAGTTTTGTAGTGGAGTGATTGATTACATTATTTTTGAGTTGACTCTTTTAAGTAATCGGAAATTATGACTTTCGAGCAACTGGTACACTGGTATATATTATTATTAGTTGAGGAACATAAATGTGCTAAGTAAGAATCTAGAGATCTAAAATAGCTCGTCCAATTTTTTACCGGTCATGTTTAAGATACAGAAAATATGTATTAGAAGTTAAAAATTAACAGCCTACAGTAGTAAACTTGAACTCAAAACCAACAGATCAACAACATTAATCTTTTGTGTCACAGAAAGAAGACAAAAACTATAAAACGCCACTGCCAAAGTTGTCGACACCTCGGAAAAGGTTTTTTGTTCCTCTCAACCCAAAGCTGTTCTTCATTCTGTTTGTTTCAAGTTGTAAATAAAGGTAAAAAGAAAAGTTTAAGTTTTCAATGTGTATTAAAAAACACATTACTTTAATGATATCTTAGACGCTGTAATCTTTTTGGTCCTAACAATTAATTGTTCGGTTGGAATTTTATTTAAAATCCCGTTTGTGAGTAAATAAAATTTAACGAGTTTGTAACTAGCATTACTAAAATTGTGGCACCGAAAATATAGTCGACTGTGAATGAAACCATAGAAAATAAAAACTATTCTCTATTAACATAAAATGGTAAAATGCTAATATTTTTTATGATTGATTTACAATAGGATGTTTCGACAAATCTTCAATAATTTTATGATTTTAACTAGTATTACAACTTAAAATAGCTTCTTAGCTTCATTTTATCATTCTAAAAAGAATTGAAACTTAGAAATCCGAACGGAGCGTTCATTTCGAACAACTGTTTGGTTTGGTTTCAAATCCCGCTTGTGAATTTATAAAATTTAAATGTTTTTTTATTATTATAGTTCAAAATGTGGCCCTTAAAAAATATAGTCGAATTTTAGAAAGTAACAATCCAGTAATTGATAAATATCTTATATTGACATAAAATTGAAGTAGCTATTACCGTAGGTGGCACGGTAAGACCACCCAACAACGATAGACCCGGTACCGATTTACTTTTTCATTTTGATGTCCCCAGAGGCCAAAAACGCTATTCGTTGAAATGTATACATATATATAGGGTTTTATAGGGTTATATGTGTGTGGCCATGAACTCGAGAATTGTTGTCTGATTTTGATGAAATTTGATTCAAAGGCTAAGGTGGGATAAACTTGAATGAGTTCGCGAACAAGCATGATCGGACCATGAGAACGAGGATTTTTGGAGAGTTTTATGGGGTAGAAATTGGTTTTTGTCATTTTTAGTCCTCAAAACACAATATTTTCCAATTGTTTTCTAGACCATTTTAAAAAATTAAAAAAGCAAACCATTTAGTATATCAATGTGTTTTTGTACAATTATTGGTAACGGAGAAAATTTTAAATAATTGTAAATTAAAAATTCCCGTGTTGTTCTTACGGAGAATATTGTAAAATTTTGTAGTTTGCTTGTTTATGGATATATTTATATCAAACTTAGCAAATGTCTTTCTTTATACCAAGCTATTAATATTTTACTTTAAACCACACTATATTAGTTTTCTAGGACAGCAAACCTAGGTACTCGTTAAAGCTTATGTCACTTAAATAAATTTAATGGAAAATCAATTAAGATTCGCTTAGTGGCAGGTTTGCTGTGGCGGGAGTATCATGATTTTAACTAGTATTTCGACTTAAAATGGCTTCAAAGTTTCAATTTCTCTCCAAACAGTCGAAACTTTTGAATGCCAAACGAAGCGTTCAATTTGAAAGTCTCTTTCGTTTCAAGTTACAGACAATCCATTGTTTGTGCCGCTGCCGGAATCCTGAATATATTGTATTGATTGGGTTTCTCGAATTTCAAACTGCTTTCCACATTCATTGTGTTAATATTAGAGAACGAGACTTTACGAGTTAAATTATTATGATTCTATACCAATAAGGTTTAATCGTTTGTATCTCTATGTTGATTTTAACAATATGAAATGGGTAAGCTCTGGAATTGAAAGGTAGTATTTAAGTGATTTAAATATATTCGTTGAATTCTGTTTTAAGACTTTTGGATTTTCGATCTTTATTCAGAAATTGTATTTTTTTTTTACTCGAACGTACTAAAAGCATATTCCAATAACACATGCTGTGTGTACAATGTAGTTGTTAATGTAGGAATATAATTATGTACAGTAATTTATACAAATATATGTTCAAGTAAGCCTCAAATTAAATACGCCGTCATGAAATTGGGTCGTGTGCTTCGAAAATGTGTGTGTTAGAATGAGTTAATAATTATATTACATATAATGATATTTGCCAATAACTTAGTTAGCTTCAACCGTATTTTAACAATACCAAATAGGGAGGCATTGTTGAGAAATTTGTTTTTTATTGTACTAAATACATATAACTAGTATTACAATACACTCTAATAAATTAATTATTAATATATAGCAAGTTTTAATATTTTATAATATCATTATACAGTTAAATATTTTTTACAATTCATAAGTAAAACTATTTGATTAATTAGGTAATTAGGGATTTAGTTTATAGTCAGACATGAATAATCTCTGTCATTGGAATTTAAATCAATTTATAAGACGATTTTTAGTAATTAAATACTATTTAGCTACACTTTTGGCTATTGAAAAAGGAATACATTATTTATTATGTTTACCAGTTTTTTCCTCATAAATCTAAATTAAATACTATGTGGGCACAATTAAATAATGCAGCTAGTTCCAACAAAAGACATGCAGTAAAATTATTTTAATGTATTATTTATGATTTAGCAACCTGGTCCTGTATATTCCTTATGCAAGAATCACTGCACCCAACATCAGCTCCCAACAACAGTCTACGCGCTACTGACGCTCTTACAACTATGAAACCGCACCAAGTTAGTTCGGGTGGTTCCGACACAGTTCGGGAATCATCGGCTTGGTTCGTGAATGTTCGATAACAATCATTTACTTGAAGGATCCTTTTTTCAACTGTCCTACTAAACCAATTTTTACGATTAAGGTGTCATTGTAAAGCTTATGATCTAGCTACCCCTTTAGCGTTTGATTCTTTTAGATTTTGCTTTCTAAGATTTTGTGTTCACTGACTAAGTTTCTTAAAACGGTTTGAATGTGAATTTTAATGGGAATAGTTAACCTTTTTATTGATTTTTTTAACCAGTCAGATTGTAAACAAGAGACAAAACAGTAAATGAAAATGGTTTTTACATAGTCTACTTTTTAATCTGTAACCTGATTGAGGTTCGAAAACTACTTTTTCATTACACTGTCTCAAAAACAGCTGTCTTACGGATCGTTTTGAGTCCCCACTCCGGATTCGAATCATGTGTTTATGTCAAAGCTTATCTCATAAACAAATCAGCTGTTTTGATCCTTCAAAATGCTTTAACAATATAGAGCATTTTGTACACATAACCTTACATAACCTAATTCATTCAGTGTTACTGTATTTTGGAGTAGTGACAGTGAAAATGGACCAAATAAGTAATCGATTTGTTTGGTAAAGTAAACGTTCCTTTTTAATCAAACGGTTTTGGCTATATTTTGTATTTTCTGCTATAATATATGACAATGCAATGAAAAATATTGTTCGTAACTCATCCTAAAATGCTTTATTGTGACTTAATCGAATTTCCGGACTATCATCACAAAAAAGCCTACTTTAGATTGGCCTTTGAAAAAAGTTTAACTCTGATAAAATACGTAATTTGCACACGGATCCTCTCATTAGGTTCATAATTCCACACCAAGAAACAAGCTCAAAACGTTAAAATCATTCTAAACGTAGTAAATAGCCTTTAATAAAACTCAATTAATGTGGTAGTTACATTTTCTTCGAATTATCAATAAAATTAATTTTCTTTCACTAAATAACATTGCAATTCTTTATTATGGGCGAGGTTTGAAAAGGTAAACACAATTTAAATCGAATTCATACAACAATCTGTATACCATACTTTATAACTTTGATACATATATTCACACTATAAAACTATAATCTAACATTGCTTTTCCTCGTTGTTTTCTACAAAAGAATATATTTGACAATCACACACCACGCCGACTACAGGAAAGGTTTATAAATCACTATTGTCAACATTTTGCCGTTATCTCAACTCCACAACGCATCAACGGAGCTTCGATTAATATTACAGTTTTCGATGGCTTTTATCCTGTTTATAAATACCGCGTTAAACTGAAAAGTGACAGCAGTAGGTTGAATGACTGGTTTGATAATTAATTGAAGAAATAATTAATGGGATTAAACTGTTACCAATTGTGAAAACAATTACTAGAGCAATTTTGTATTTTTTGTTATTTGTAGTTATTTTTTAGCGAATTTCCCTATAGGGAAGTAGCTATTACCGTAGGTCTCATGGTAAGACCTAAGCCCGGGACCGATTTACTTTTTCATTTTGATGTCCCCAGAGGCCAAAAACACCATTCGTTCAAATTTTTATATATCTATATATAGATATATATATATATATGTGTCCATCCGCACGATAACTTGAGTAATTTTTGTCCGATTTTGATAAAATTTGGTTTGAAGGTGTAAGGCGGGATAAACTTGAATGAGTTCGCGAACCAGCATGATCGGACTATGGGAACGGGGGTTTATGGGGGGTTTTATGGGATAAAAATAGGTTTTTCCCATTTTTGCCCCTAAAAACACAAAATTTCACAATTTCTTTTTAAACCATTTTGTAGAGCTTAAAAAACAAATAATTTAGTATATTGAAGCGTTATTATGCGCCTAATTGTTACGGAGAAAATTCAAAAAAATTGTAATTTTAAAATTCCCATGTTATTTTTATGGAGAATAATTCGACTGTTGCAGTTTGCTTGTTTATGAACATATTTTGATCGATTTTGGAAAATACTTTTATTTCTTACTAAACTATTATCATTTTATAAAAAAATCTTTTTTACCCTCCCTGTTGCAGCAAACCTAAGGTACTTGTTAAACTAATTCTATTTAAATAGGAAATAAATGTGCTATTTTTATGGAGGCATTTTAGTGTAAATCCAATCAGGTCAATGGAAATTCGCTTAGTCTGCAGGTTTGCTGCGGCGGGGGTATTTGTTATTTGCAAGGTAATTTTACAAATTCAAGTTCACAGGAAATTTCTGAGTTGTAAGTTTAACTATCGACGTTTTTATCAAAACTCGTACATAATTAAAAGGAAAATTAACACAAGAAGAAGTGTTTATATTAAATGGATAAGACATGTAGTTAAAACCTTCACTTTTGAATAACTTAAATATTTTATATATATCTTGTCACGGATTTATAAAAACCAACTCTAAAAAATTGGAACTTTTATTATTCACGAGATAAAAGCTAAGTGTTGTTAAGTTGTTATTTACTAAATACTAGCTGTTACCCACGCGGTGGGGCACACGGGAGGGACTAAGGCTAACATATCTTGTAGTTTCAGCGTTCGCCGCTAGAACTGCTAAGTTGAAAAAATTTAAATTATTTATTTATTTTTAGTTATAAAATTAACTTTTTAATTATAAAATATTGTTTTAAAATTATAAAATAAATTTTTAATTTTAAAATTAAACTGTCATAACATAACCTAACCAACCAGACGCGATTTTTACGTGCGATTTTTTCCGCTGCGGAATTAAAACGACACTGGTTTAATGGAGTTCCCATGTGTGCGGTTCCACTGACTTGCGATTCCGCATCCCGAAATTTCCGTTCCGCATGGCGGAGAAATCATACTGGTCTGAGAGCAGTAGCAGTGCGGATTCCGCCAGCGGAGAAGAGCCATCAAATATTGTGACCGTCAGTTTCATTATGTCTTGTGCTGTAAAAAGAGTTATGGATGAACGTTTTTCTTCGACCAAAGAGGAAGAACTTGTCGAGTTGGTGTCTCAACATGATGTGGAAATCGCATGTCAGTGGATTTCTGAGAAATTAGCGAAGACGTATGCACACAATCACACCAGAATACATTCAATGATAAAATTAATGGTTTTTTTAGGTCACGTTTACCTATACACAACATTTGAGCCAATTATAAAGTAATACCTATAATCGCAACACCGACTTTCAACAAACTAACTGCTTAAATAAATCATTATGATACATTTAACATAAACTGTCGAAAATGGTAGACCTGACGAACAATTATCCTGAGACGTTTGGGTATCAAGTGTTGAACGGGATCTGATCGTGATTGGAACCCCTTAAGTTTCGTTGAATAAATAGCAAAAATATTAAGTATTGGTACATACCCTAGTGTAACCGCTAGTTTCATCTCGGCATTCAATGGTTGTTTGTCTCGATTAGTAGCGTTGGTGGGTAAGTAATCTTTGATGAGATCAACCAAAAAGAAAAATTGGTCTTTTGACACGCGGAAGTACTGTACAGTACTTAGTTTCGTTGTAAACTAAATGATTACGAACCAGAATGTTATACGCCCCTTCACTGTCCCGATTCTTAAATATGTCACTTCGGTCACTGCGACTTGACACTAACAAAGATAAAAGATCGACAACATCATCATCAATGTCATCATATAGCATCAAAGCCAAAAGGGCTTTCCTCTTTCTATTCATACTCGTCGCTAGTTTGGACAGAACTGAATCTACGCAACGCTATTTTCGCAGTCTGTAGAACCACCCCTCTGATTTTTCGCTGCGTAATTTTCCGCTGCGAAAAATTACGCACCGCATGGCGGAGATTCCGCATCCTGTGGAACCAGGCCTTTAGGATTTTCCACTGATTTGGTAATAGAACATTATATTGCAAAACATGACACGATGCAGAATAAAATCGATTTTAAAATCAGAAAAAACCATTGCAAATACTGTACTTCATTTTGAAAAATTCAATAAATCACAATTTAAATATTAACAGCTGTTTCATTCAAAAGTAGTGTAAATGTATGCATATGGTCGTAATGTAAACACATCTGAAGAGGAAACTTTAAAGGCCTCTGGGGGAGAGCCCCAAGGGAATTTACCTTGTTTCTCTTTTGATGGCTCATCTACAGACTAAGACCCCTCTTTAGAGACCCCTACCAAGTTTCTACGCCCAGCCTTTCTCTATAATTAGCTGTAACAAAACCCGGTTTTTCCTTTATAAGAATAACATGGGATGGGAATTTAAAGGCCAGTGGGGCAGAGCCCCAAAGGAATTTACCACGTTTCTCTTTTGATGGCTCATCTACAGACCAAGACCTTACATTAGAGACCCCTACCGAGTTTCTACACCCAACCGTTCTCTCAAATTAGCTGTCACAAAGAAAAACAGTTTCAAATTAATATATAGATAATATGAGAGTTTGGAATCATCTTAAAAGTTAAGTCGTTGGATAAATGCACGTATTTTAAAATTTCGTCTCATATAAGTACGATTATTTCAAGGTAAGCCAGTTAATCGTATACGTTACGTATAAGGTTCCCCCTAGGTTCTCCTACAAGTAGTCTGCTTTTTCTTAGCTCGTCCACATAAAAGAAATTAAAAACTCTTTACCTAATGATACCAATATAGTATTTGTATTGATAAAATATGAAAACACAAGGAATCAAATCATCTTACTCTGACTTACAAAACACAAGGAATCAAATCATCTTACTCTGACTTACAAAACACAAGGAATCAAATCATCTTACTCTAACTCACAGCTTTTATATAAGAACAAGATGCGGAAAACGAGTACAAAACATAGGAGCTGAACCATCATTAAGAGGGTAATGCAGACATAATTACTGGCCTCTCTTGCTGTTCTTTACTTAGCAGCGTCTTTTGATCATGAAACACTGCAATTAGTGATGCATTGCTGTGCTTATTATAGTCTAATTCATTTTATTGAGTTTGCTT